CAGGAGGGAGATGGGAAAGACACAGCTAGATGCTGCGAAAAAGATGAAGAAATGTCTACTTAACATTATAAGAGTACGCGCACCTGTGGCAATTAGACATTTGTCGTATTTAATACAAGTTTTGTCATCGAGGTAAGCTTTCTTCTCGTCAGGGCAGATCTTTTCAACACGACGCCCCTTCAGCAGTGAAACTCCACCATGTACGGTGGTTGGTAATTCACCAATCGGTACGAAGAAGCCCTGAAAAGTGTGACAGAGATTGTATTCACCAGAAATCTTGGAACCGTAAACTAGCAAATAGGGGTTGAAATCACAAAAATTAGTGGTCTATTCATTGCATTTCATGATAGTTTAGCATATTTTTCAAAGTTCCATTCGGACTATAGCCTGTTTTCTGAGCCTGATTTGAAAATTGTTTTGTCCGCAGCTGGCTAAAGAAAGCGCCGGAAGCTGCAAGACTCTCTATCATCAAACTACTTAGCAATTAGCTCTATCTCCATTCTTTTTCCTATCCCTCTGTATGTATCTTCTTCATTGAATCATGGATAACAGTAGAGAATCTGCAGTTCTCAACCAAACATTTTGGAAAGATTATGCTGTAGCGGACACACTCAAAATTCATTCTCAGAATAACAGAATGTGTAAGAACGGCTGATTTTTTTGCCGAATGCCGGACTCTTGCAATAAATGATTCCAAGAATCATTATTGTGATGGATACTTACTCAGTTTACAGGTACTCCAAAGGCGCAACTATAGTGAAATGTATTACAGATAGATAAGTTCGGCAATGTAGTAAATGCTTGAAGGTAGCGTCCAGTAAAATCAAGACTTTTGGATTTTCACTGAATTATAGTACCGATTCCTCCAAAAGGTCGTCAAATTTGATTGACTGATGGTGGAGGGCGAGGAATCGCTTCGAATGTTCCTTAGGATTCGACCTCTGCCGCCAGTATAGCTCTCTTGCGAAAAAAAGCGAGTCTCGCTTCGGAACATGCTGAAGTCGCGCCTCTGTAGCGCTCCAGGTCAACCAAAAAGGAAGCTCAAATCTGTTTTTTCTTTGATAACTTCATTATACCAAAGTTTACGTTCACAATCAGCACAGCAAAATGGCCCGGAGAAGGTTAACTAAGAAGAAATTTTGCCTGGACACTATCTTGAGCGTTGATATCCCGATATACG